GCAGCTGCTGCTCTTGATGCTGTCCGCGCGTGGGGCTGTCCACAAGGCGGTGATGCCGCTGTCGCACAAGGTGAGGCGCCCGGGCCTCCGCAGGCACGCTGGCCGCTCTCCTGGGGTCCTGGCCGTCTCTTCCACGCGAGCTCCCGCCCTCTCTGCCCAACCCCACTCTCCTGGACCGGGGACCCTGGCCTGCGGCCCTGCCTCCCGGGACGGGGGTGTGCCAGACGGCTGTGTGCACGGGCGCCGGGCCCAGGGCTCTCCTGCTTCCTTTACTGTGCGAGTTGCCCCAGTGCCAGGAGACTCCCCACACCTACCACCCCCAGCCCTGTCGCCTGAGGTCCTCTGAGCCCCTTCCCTCCCCTGCCCTGATGCAAACCGGCCCTGCTGGACTGCCTCCCGGCCTCATCACTCTTAGGAGAAATGGACGGTCCTGGGACGCGTGCCCGTTAACATATCCCTTGTCTGAGGTAGCAGGCCTCAGTGGGCCCTGGGGGCTCCCAGGTCTCCGCCCTTGTGGGGCCTTCCTGAGATAACAATTCCCTGGTGATTTTTTTACATGTTTTTATTTATCTATTTAGCTGTTTTGATTTTCAAGCCGCTGGGTCCAGGACTTGAACCACAGTTGGTCATGAGGCAATCCAGGGCCTTAACTACCAGGCCTGTGATGTCTTAATGTGGCTGTCCTTCCTCTGGACTCCGCCTGTCCTCTAGGCCTCGGCAGGCTCCAGAAATGGAGCCTAACAGGAGAGGCCCCTCGGCCCCCTGTTCTGCACCTCGCTTTTTGAAAACGCATTTTCCCGTAGTGTTTTGTTACTTATGGCAAGTTTTATTTAGCAATGGATTTATTATTGTTATTTCAAACCTTGCTCAGTTTCAGTGCCTAACACCGACGCAGTAGGTGCGACCCACTGCCACGCAGCTCCGAAAACCCCTTGCCTATCTTAGGACCCACTGTGGCAGACCAGCAAATGGCGTAGTGGTTATGTCGCTGCACTCCCACATAGCTGACCGGTCTGAGTCCCGACCTGGCGGCTTAACACGCACACCGGGTGTGTGTGTGTGCCCAAAATCCCAAGGAGAATGGGGACGGCATTGCGATGTGGCCATCCCCCCTGGGGGGTGATTTCTCGCTTTCTATCTCTCTCTGTCTCTCCGGCGAGTGCATATGTTCTGTAGCAAAAAACCTCTCAAAAACAAAACAAAACAAAACAAAACAAACCTACTGAGGGCCCTGAATCACTGTCAAAGGCCACTGTTACCATGGCACCTTCTTCAGAGGTGACAGCAGACAGGCTAGGTGGGCTGGCAGGTGTGAGTTGGAATGTCTTCATGCGCTGTGTGATCCTAGGGCAATCCCTTACGCTCTCTGAGCCTCGGTTTCTTTGCTTGTGGACTGCCAGCACAGGGGTGGCGAGCTGGCCTCCAAGCCTGACCCAGCTGCTCCTTCAGCTCTATGACTCAGTTCACTCCTCGTCCACGTGGGGACCCTTCACCATGGGCACCCTACCACTGACCTGCCTGGCCTACTTGGTCTGGGAGCTCCAGTCCGCAGGTGACCCATGGTGGTGGCCGCCTGAGCTTGAAAGATGGGCATCAGCAATGGGTGCAGGAGGCCCTGTGGAGTGCTGGGCCCACTGGAGTTGCTTGGAGCAGGTGAACAGAGCCCGCGGGGTTTCAGGGCATCGGACAGGCCTGTGAGGACCACTCCGAGTGCCAGAGCGGCTGCTGCGTCACCAACAGCCTGAACCCGCAGAAGTTCTGCACCCCCCAGACCGTCTTCCTGCAGTGCCTGTCCTGGAGAAAGGTGTGTGGGGTGCGCTGGAGGGTGGAGAGTGCGACAGCACCCCGTTGCCACGCTCCCACCTGCCCCTGCAAGGGTCAGGGGAAAGGGGCAGGCGGGCAGCAGAAAGGACAGTCTCCTGTGGCCTGCAGCCCAACGGGTACAACTGCTCCGGCCACTCTGAGTGCCGGAGCGGCTGCTGCGTCAGGACTGACAGTGCCCCGCAGACCTACTGCCAGTCCAAGACCATCTTCCTGCAGTGCATGCCCTGGCGCAAGGTAAGCCCGTGGGGTGCGGCCGCCTCCCTCCCTGCCTGGTGGCATGGGGGACTTCCAGCCTGTGTCTCCCCAGCCCCACGGACACCAGTGCACAGAGCACCGCGACGGTGCTCCTGCCGTTTGGCCGAGGCCAGCCCCTACCGCTGCATCCCCCGGAGCGGGATCCTGGCCCTCTGTCTGCCTCTGGTGCGTGCCCTGTCCCTGAAGGGGCCGAAGCAGGGTAGCCACAGGCCCCAGGGAGAGAGGACGGCTCCCCTCCTTGCTCCTCTCACCACACACAGCCTCTGGGCACCTTCCAGTGGCTGAGCTAAATTGGAGACCTAGGACACTCTGGGACCGCAGAGCCCAGAGGCAGCCTGGGGACCGGGGTGGGGGCACAGCAGGAGAGGCGGGGGGAGCAGCTGGCCACGGGGCAGTGGGGGCCAGGGTGCGCTTCAGTGCAAGAGCCAGCAACTGAGGTCTCGAGTGGGTGTCTGGCCCCTAAAGGAGAACCACGCAGTCTGTGAGCCCCTCCGGGACTTGCCAGCTCCGGGAAAAGGGCCTGCCCACAGCAGGTGCTCAGTGTGCCCACCTGAGCAGGTTGTCCTGAGCCGGGAGGGAGCTGTTCCCGCCCCCCGCCCCCTCTGCTGGCCTCTGTGTCCTTCTGCCAAGTCCCCTGGCACTCCTGCTTCCTGATGGCCACTGTTTCCTTTAGTGACACAGACACGCGTGTGCACTGAAGAGCGTGCCGGACCTGAACCTCGCCGGGCCAGCGCTTTGCTCATGTGGCCCCTCCAGGAGGGGACACTTGACGTCTACAGCAGTCAGGGACACTGTCACTTCCTCTTGACAACCCACTTCTCGAGGCCAGCAACGCAGTGTCTGTGGGCTCATCACAGCTGCGGGGCTGGCCTTGACTACTGAGCGTGAGTAAATGAATGCTGTGATGGGTGAGGCTCACTTACCGCCGTTTCCAAGTGGGACAACAGCACCTGGTGGGGCTGACTCTGGGGAGGAAGGTGAGAGAGGCCCAGGTATTCGAGTCCCGAGAGGAAGGTGCGGGAGGAGTGGGGACTGGTGCGGCAGTCCACGGCAGGGCAGCCTCTCTCTCTCCCGTGCGGACATGTACGGTCTGGCAAGAGCCGGAAAAGAAAAAGAAAAAGGGGCCTGCAGGTGGTGTGGTGGTTAGGGTGGCCAGACTCCCACATGGCTGACTGTGGTTCTAGTCCTGGACCTGGCAGCTTGCTTTCTCACGTCACTTCTCTCTCCGTGTGTGTCTATCTGGTCAACTTCAAAAATAAAATATAGGGATCAGCAGTTAGCATAATGGCTATGTCGCTGAACTCCCATGTAGTTGACCGCAGTTCAAGTCCTGGGTCCGGTGGCTTGGACTGACTCTGGGCGCGTGTGTGTCCATGCCCAAGATCCAGAGAGAATGGAGAAGGGATTGTGGCGTGGCCATCCCCTCAGGGGTGATTTCTTGCTTTCTGTCTCTGTCTCGCTGGCGAGTGCACACGCCCTATAGCAAAAACCTCTCAAAAATAAAATATAAAATAATGACAATGTGTAAAATTAAACAAAAAAGAAAAAGGGTAAAAGAAAGTGGGGACCAGTGTCTGTGTCTGCCACGGGAGGAGGCAGCAGAGGGTGGAACCCCCAGAGAACACTGCAGCCTGCAGGCCATGTGCAGGGCTGGGTTCTGAGGTCGTACCTCGGGCTGTTCTGGCACTGGCTGGCTACTGCGACCAGAACCTCTGAGCTCAGCTCCCTTGCGCAGCAGTGCCCCCTGCTGCAGAGGAGGGCCGGGGCGCCTGTCCTGGGCGAACTTCTGAGATGGCAGGCCCAGGGGGAGAGGGCGCAGGGCTGGCAGGCCTCTGCCCTTCAGGAGGCCGGGAGCCGCCCTGGGTTCTGCCAGAGGGCCCGCAAAGGCAGCCTGGAGGAAGCTCTGCCCGCCAGCGTTCCTGAGCCCACGGGAGCCTTCGGTGCAGGCCAGAGCTTCCACCTGGACGCCACCGCTCTGGGCACTGGCGTTACACCGTGATTTATGATTTTGCTAGAGCACAAACACTAGCTGGAGAGAGACCCAGAGATCGAGAGGGA